TTGCTGTATGAAGTTGTAAATCAGTATTCGGAGGCAATAAACTAGAATTATCACGTTAATTGTGTTTCATTATATCTCGCTTTTTACTTCAAAAGCTAACATCAGAAGTGGGATTCCTCCTAGTGTCTTTAGGACAGGAGAAAAGGACCTAAAAGTGCTTTATTTTTTGTGTGAAAACTAAAATACGTCGAGAACAATGGCTGACGACCATGAACAAAGTGAAGGTGCTGAACGGGCTACTAGTCCATCCGTTGGTGTAGGGAGAGTCAGTGAGTCACTTGGCACTAAAATGATGGAAATGTACAAAATTCAGCAGGAAAGTAATATTCACTTTCAAGATCAAATTACGCAAATTTTGTCAACAATGGCCAACGCCCAAGCGATTCAATCCCAGGCGGCGCTGCAGTCAGCTTCGACAAGTACGCAGGCGCAAATTCAGACCCCTGTATCCAATCACATACCCGAAGTTGTGGCGGCAGCATCATCGCAAATTCGGTTGACAAGTTATGATCCTGATGACACACCGTTTACGATGGTGGAATGGATGGATGACATCACCAAAATTCAACAGGAGTTTGGAATGTCCGACACCATGATTGTTTTGAAGGCTGGTCACGCTCTCAGAGGACGAGCTGCCCGTTTCTTTCAACACTGGAAACCGATTGTTAGAGATTGGGTTTCTTTTCGCAGAGATTTTGAGGTAGCATTTCCGGAGCGAGGTACACCAGCTACTCGAATACGTGCTTGCCTCGAAATTACAAGTGATAAGTTCGTGTCGTTAGTAGAGTATGGAAATGTGAAACTCTCATCCATCAAACGGTTTTATCCAGACTTTCCTTGGAACATAATACTCAGTCTGGTCGAGTACGATATTAAAAATACAGAAGTGAGAAACAGAATTTGTTTGCAAGCTCCCAAGTGTGATGCTGACCTTTTAAAATTGTTAGCTACTTGTGATGCTACTATTAAAATTGAAGAGGACCGGTCGCGTGAATTATCACGAAAGCGCGGTAACAACTCAAAGGAGGAACATCCTGATTTTAAAGGAAAGTGCAGAAAGTGTCATCGCTACGGGCATAAACAGGTAAACTGCAAACAAGTGATAGATGCACCCAACAAGCGGTTACCAGTTCTTTCTGAAAGTAAATCAACAAATTTAACAAAATCGACCAATATAAAAACCTGTAACTATTGTAAAAAAATAGGCCACACCGAGGATGTTTGTTTCAGCAAACACGGGATGCCCAAACGAGTATTATTGTCTCGTTTTGTATCAAGTCCTTCTGCCACACTTGCAAACAACAATACATTCACAACTTTATGATACCTAGTGGACACTGGTGCCGATGTATCCATATTACATGAAAAAGTTGCGACATGTTTAAATTTGAAAGTTCAACCCGATAATCAGTTTTTATCAGGAATGGGAAATTCCATAACTAAGCCCATCGGCCGCAGCAGCACTTTAATGTTTACACCAACCATGACCCTAGAAGTCGAGTTCCTAATTGTACCAGATGGATCTATTCCTGAGGGCAAAATTGATGCTATAATCGGCCTTGATGTACTCCAACGACCAGGAATCAAAATAGAAGTAAATAAAAATAGTGTCCATATGGTGCATGATCCAGTGACAAATTTCTCTCAAATTTGTTGTGCACACACTTTTGACGATAAAGAATTAAATTTGTCAGGACTGGACGAGCAATTGACAAGTGAAATAAAAACTATCCTTCAAAATGCAATAAAGCAAACGCCACCCGCAGTAACAACGGGCAAGTTAAAAATAATACTACGTGATTCACAACCGGTCGCTCACAAACCTCGGCATTTAGCATATGGAGAACGATTGCAAGTAAAGCATATTATACAACAACAAATTCAAGCTGGAATAATACGACCAAGTGAATCAGCATATGCTAGCCCGATTGTACTCGTAAAAAAAAGGAACGGAGAAACAAGATTGTGTGTAGACTATCGGGATGTAAACAAAAAAGTGTTACGCAATAATTATCCTTTGCCTCGCATACAAGATCAGATTGACTCTCTAGCGAAATTTGTTTATTTTTGTATACTCGATATGAAACAGGGATTTCTTCAAGTAGAAGTCGAAGAAGAATCGAAACATATTACAGCCTTTGTAACACCAGACGGATTGTACGAATATAACCGAATGCCATTTGGTTTTGTGAACTCTCCTTCGTGTTATCAAAGTGCCATTGATAAAGCTCTCGGACAGTTGAAAGACAATATCGCCTTCGTTTACATTGACGACGTGCTGTGTCCCGCGGAGACTATTGAGGAAGGTCTGGGTAATTTACGATTAGTTGTTGATACTCTGTCCAAGGCTGGATTTGTGCTGAACTTAGCAAAGTGTAGCTTTTTCAAAACATCGATAGAATATTTAGGTGTTGTGATTGAAAGAGGAACTGTAAAACCGAATCCCCGAAAAGTGAATGCTCTGGTACAGACAGTAGCTCCGACAGATGTAAAAGGTGTTCGCCAGCTCTTAGGCCTTGCCGGTTATTTTCGGCGTTTTATCAAGAATTTTGCTAGTTAA